TGACAAAACCCTTTCGGCCGAACTGGACGCACTTTGATCAGTTGCGCAATTATGCGAAATTGTTTTTTAATTAAATTATACGAGGGAAATATGTGCCATGGCTGCCGGCACCTGTTACGGAAAATGGAAAACCTAAAACTGAAAGCTGACTGTCCCGACTAACCGAAACATGTTCATCTGTGTTGCACTGTGATATTTGAATCGCGTGCTTTTTCCGCTGCCTGGAGCACTGTATTTTTCATGGGTTTTCAATTTTAATTGAAATTTATGCGCACATTCCACCCGTTCAGGGGCGGGGCGGTGCGATGCGGCCAGCCGGTCGAGGGCCACGGTCACGTGTTCGCCAAAAGAGTGTTGCAAATTGTTGGTAACAACTATGGGCGTGGCACGCCCACAGTGTCAGCCATGATTTACGTGCCGCACTTTTGTTATTTATGTCGCATGCAAAAACATTTTGTTATTGTTTTTTTTTTTAGTGTAATTCTGTGTGTTCATGTGTAAAATTTGAAATTGTTGTAAATAATTACCCTAATGGCTCGCTGACTTGGCTGCTTGGCCGGCTGACTAGCTGGCGCCCAAGCCAGTCTCCGCCCACTTTCACCCCCGGGTACAGTTGCGACCAGCAGTTAATTTGTGAGCCAGCATCGTCGCCATTTGTAATTAAGCTTAAACCGTTAATATTTTAGCCAGATAAGAGGCCATACCCTTACCCAAAAAAAAAAACAAAAAACAAAGAGAGCCAATTGCAACCGAGCGTAACTGACTTTGTAATACCTGCTCACGGGCAAAAGCTAAATATAAAACAAGTAAGAAAGCTCTAGTCGAGACTACTCGACTACGAGATCCCCTGAACCCTTGGAGTAATAGCTACTTCAATAATTTTTCGCGTCTTTCAGCTTACACAAGAAACACGCACACACACACACACACACACACGCACGCACGCACACACACAGGCATACATACACATACACACACATACATGCACACATACACACACATACACAAACAATTACATACATATACACACACAAGCATAAACACGCATGGGCGGCAGTGAGCGCTTACTATGAGAACTTAATTGCTTAATAACTTTTTTGTGGACGTACGATCTTCATGAAACTTTCAGATAATGATTATGACATGGATATGCATGTAATTGCCAAAGCACAAGTCTCTAGTATTTGAAATACGCTTTTTACAAAAGTGAGGGTGAGGGGGTGAATTTAAGGGTGGGGGGTAAATTTTAACAAAAACCGAAATTGTATAAATTGCATATAGGCATATATTAAAAATTTGGAGACTCTAGCAATAAAGGTGTAGAAGATATAATTTTACAACTGGTTTTCGATAAGGTTTTTTATCGATAAAAAAAGATCGGGATGAGTTATCGATTTTTAATGATAAACTTGATATGCGCGCTGTAATTACGAACATTTAAAAAAATTTGAAGTCTCTAGCTCTTATATCTTCTGAAATCGACGCGTTCATACATACGGACAGACGGACAGACGGACAGACGGACGGACGGACAGACGGACAGACAGACGGACAGGGCCAAATCAACTCAGCTCGTCGCCCTGATCAAGAATATATATATTTTGTGGGGTCTACCACGCCTCCTTCTCCCTGTTACATACATTTCAACAAAACCATTATACCCTGATTTCCCATTGAAAATGGGTTCAGGGTATAAAAATTTGTTCAAGTATGTTTCCATAGGTCTGTAAGTAGATGCGGTAGATGGTATACAATTCTACGGCTAGAGAAGTCGAACTGTGAAAGATTTGATTTGTTTCGCCCAAAAGTGAATGTAGGTATATCATTTATGTTTGATCTGTAGATAACATAAAAAGGAAATAACTTCCCAAGCTCTAAAGCCCAAGAGAAATTTGGAGATGTTGACTAGTGCTTAAAATTCAAGAAATGAAGAAGACATATCTTTCTAGAGTTATTTGCAATCTAAACAGCAGATGATTACATATTTTTAACATTTTGATTCTCAAACCAATATACTCAGTTCGCTCGATGAAAGCCTATAGAAAACCCCGTCGTAGATTTATGTGAACGCCAGGGCAAAAGTTTTGCCAAATTGTTGGAAAAACATTTCACGGTCCGGCGAAAGCGAAAATTCTCTGATTTGGGTGTTAATTCGGGCTCGGAAACTCCATCCATGATATTCTCTTCACTTTGTCTTAATCTGCACTGCGCTTTCGCTCGTCGAAATTGGGCATGAAAATGAAAACGAAACTCTCTGCTTGTTTATTGGTGTTTGCAATCGGTGGAATTTAATTAGCCTGCCAAGTCGTTAGCAAGATTCGAAAAGTAAGATTCAGTAAAATATGCATGCGATTCAGTGGATGGCCGGGGTTGAGGGCCGAGCATATCTAGACGCAACAAATATTTGGGCTCATTGACTCTGTGTTCATTAAGGAAAACAGTCTGAAATCTAGCTTAGAATATGTTAATTCGAATATGTTATTATTCTTTTAAGTGAAGTGAAGGTTCAGGTGCGAGCTAATGTGTTGACAGAAATCGAAATAATATTTGTTCTTTTTGCTGTGAAGTTAACTTTTATTGAATAATTGAATATTATATTATTGAAATATATTCTACATTAGAAATAAACTGCTGCATCTCAGTGTTTTACTTTAAGATCTGAAAAGAACAACAAAATTATAATACATATATTAATTCAATCTTCATTGAATAGTAATTGAATATGAACATTTATTTATATGAACATATATTTATTTTGGCGGCTGCGGGGCTTGATGCTTCGGGCTATGTCGATGGATTTTTTTGGGCATTGGTGCTGCAGAAATATCTGCGAGACGTTGCAATCGGGCGTTACCAATTGCAGAATACTCATTTACATCCCATTAGCAATTTAGTAGCTAAGTTTTAAGTTTCTAGCTCAAATACTGTAGAAAATGTCGACGAAATACGTGACGTTCTAAATACTAGCAAAAAATGAGGTCTCTACATTTTTGGACAGTTCTTAGAACGAGCTAACGGTAACCAAATTGCAATATTATGCTCACGCTAAAAAAAATGTGAAAATTACAGGGTCTTTTTCGATATGCCACTCCCCTAAAGAGGCTTAACAATTAGTTTTGGGCCATCGATGTAGGAGGTTACCAGAAACTTAACTATTCATATATTATAATTTGAAGCTTCTAGCTCTTAAAATTGTAGGAGATATAAACTCCTACGGTTTTCCACGGATGGTCAAAAAGGGATGGTTGGATGGTTGAAAAGTCATATATCCACCATAGCTTGTTGTTCTTGATTCAGCTTTCTAGCTCTTCAACTAATGTGATTTCAGTTATATCGGAAAACTCATCTTCCAATTTGCCAAGTGGACGGATTGGGAAAGTTTTAGCACTATAAATCGGAGATTGCGTGAATACGGACAGACTGACGGTCAAAACGTGAATGAGTTCAAAAAGCCACTAACTCTGAAAATATTTCATTTCACAGTTCGAATTCACAAGAGACTTCTAATTCAGTGATGCGGCATTCTTAAATAATTACAGATCACATATAAATATATTGGGTAGTCTAAAAAGTTTTTTCGTATTTTGCCAATAGATGTCGTTGGCGTCGTATATCTCCAGTGCTACCAATCACATTGTGTACACATTGTGGTGTTCGATTGGTAGCACTTTAAGCTTCGATTGCCAAAAAAAAAAAATGTAATTCAAAGAATTTGAAAAAAGTTACAGCTGTTCAAAAATGAGTGAAAATAAAGAAGAAATTCGCTATATTTTGAAATTTTTGTATAAAAAAGGGAAGAATGCCACGCAAGCCACTAATGAAATTTGTGATGTTTACGGTGACGATGCTCTATCAGTTCGTGTAGCACAACAATGGTTCGCACGCTTCCGTTCAGGAAATTTCGATGTGAAAGATGCACCTCGCTCTGGTCGACCAATCTTTGAAAAAGTCGATGAAATTATGGAAAGGATTGACCAAGACCGTCACATAAGCAGCCATGACATCGCAAATGAACTAAACATTCATCATCAAACGGTTCTGAACCATTTAGAAAAGGCTGGCTACAAAAAAAAAGCTCGATGTATGGATACCACATGAATTGTCTGTGAAAAATTTATTGGACAGAATTAACATTTGCGATTCTTTGCTGAAACGAAATGAAATCGAACCATTTCTGAAGAGAATGGTAACAGGAGACGAAAAATGGATCAAATACGACAATAATGTGCGAAAAAGATCATGGTGCAAGAGTGGTGAAGCTCAACAAATGGTCGCAAAGCCAGGATTGACGGCTCGAAAGGTAATGCTGTGTGTTTGGTGGGATTGGAAAGGAATAATCCACTATGAGCTGCTTCAGCCTGGTCAAACGATTGATTCGACACTTTACTGTGGACAACTGATGAGATTGAAGCAAGCAATCGAAAAAAACGGCCAGAACTGATCAACAGAAAGGGCATCGTATTCCATCAGGACAACGCCAGACCACACACATCTTTGATGACCCGGCAAACACTGAGAGAGCTTGGCTGGGAAGTTTTAATGCATCCACCATATAGCCCTGACCTTGCACCTTCGGACTACCATTTATTTCGGTCAATGCAGAACTCCCTTAACGGAGTAAAGTTGGCTTCAAGAGAAGCCTGTGAAAATCACTTGAAGCAGTTTTTCAAAGAGAAACCACGAAAGTTTTACACGAATGGAATTATGTCTCTAGTGGAAAAATGGCAAAAGGTGGTCGACCAAAATGGTGCATATTTGATTTAATAAAGTTTATTATAAATATTTAAAAATATGATTTGAAGTTTCATTACAAATACGAAAAGACTTTTTAGACTACCCAATACTTATGTATATACTTATATATATCAGTGGAAAATTTAATTGCGATGACCTTTCCGAATCTCTATTATCAGCGTGGATTTAGCCTTGCAGAGTTTGCAAGCTTTGAAGCGTTGAAGTAAACAAGCAGCTAATGTTCTCTAAAAATTTAAAATTGAATAAACATTTATATACACTTAACAACTTTATTTGAATACATATAAATACAAAACAAACAAACTGCAGCTTAGCCAATGTGAATATCTGCAATGACCAAGAAAATTTTGTGAACAATTTTTCGATAAATATTTAACTTCATTATTATAACTTACTATTGTGATGTATATTTATATTTATTTTTGGCAGTTTGAAGCGGGGCTTTACTTTGCGCTTTGGTGCTGCCAAAACATCGCTGAGGCACAAAAAGATGCCAACAATAAAAAGCCACTGAAACTTAAAGTATTTCATATCGAGTATAGGTAAGAATGTTTTAGCAAATATATAGGGAGTTTGCGGGCAGATGAAGCTGTCACAGCTTGAGCTCACCTGGAAGACTTCAAATTAATCAGCAATGCGACGACCTATTTATTCTAATCTCTGTTATCAGCTTGGAATTAACGTTCAGCAAGAAAGCGAAAGTAATTCCCCAAGGCAAAGTAATTCCCAAGGCAAGACAAAAAACCCAATGTGAAAGCCAGCGGGTATTCTCAACGCAAAGATCAACATCAAACACGATAGCACAAACACTGGGCATTCCTATAGTATATAACTCTTCAATATCGATATATTAGCAATGTTGCGCCCTCTGTTGTAGCTTAAGATTTTGAATTAATAAATAGAAAGAAAACAAGTCCTGAGTCCCTAAATCAACCGAGTCCCTTAGTAGAGACTGGCACATAAATCAAGAATTTCATTTTGAAAATTAGTTGCTGTAAAAGCAATAACTGTTCATTATCGACTTATAAACGATACGGATGCCGCTGAAGAGCCTTGAATATAAATTTGCTTATTAGCTAACTGAGAGAAGCAAAATATTACAAGGAAATTTGATCCAACATTCTGCATTCCTTAATAAAAACTAGTTTTCATATAATTCCATAAATCGAATTTATTGAGAAGGTGCAGCTGGCTTTTTTTGAGTGACTTCTGCAAGAAAAAGCTAAATGTAAGAAAAACATAAACATTATTTATTATCAATTATAACTTACTTATACCACCAACGTCGACTGAAAGAACTGGAAAGCTGAAATCAAGAAATGGACGCGGCTCTGGTGAAACAGCACCGATGCATAAAACAAAGAATAGAAGCAAAGCAGATTTTGACTTGAAGAATTTCATTTTAAAATCAGTTGAGAGCTGACGTTGTCGCAATTAGAAGTCGCTTGAAAGACTATTACTTTTGCATCGAAGAGATATTCTTTAATACGCTGTGAAATTGTCCAATTACTTAATTAGCATATATAAATTGTATTATAAGCTAAAAACAACTATTAAAGACTTTTCGCCTCTTAGTATTCCCCTCAACTTGCGGTAAATAGCAATAATTATTCATTATCGATTTATTAACGATATTACAGCAGCTTGAGAAGAACCTAAAATATGATTATTAAATAACGGAAAGAAGAAATTTGATCCCACATTCTTCATTCCTCAATAAAAACTTGATATACAATTCCATAAATCAAATTTATTGAAAAGGTTGAACTTTTGATTTTCGGTTGATTGCTGCAAGCAAAAACTAAATGTAAGAAAAACATGAAAATTATTTATGATGAATTAAAACTTACTTATACCACCAATGTCGAGTGTGAAGAGTGGAAAGCTTAAATCAAAAAAGGGACGCGGCTCTGGTGAAACAGCGCCGACGCATAAGACAAATAAGAGAAGCAAAGCAGATTTTGACTTGAAGAATTTCATTTTAAAATCACTTGAGAGCTGACGTTGTCACAATTAGAAATCGCTTCAAAGACTATCTAATGCAACGAACCGATATTTTTAAATACAGTTTAGAACCTTTAAGCTAGTATGCTATACTTAAATTGCATTATGGGCGTAAAAATGTGTGAAAAAAAATATATTAGAGCTGTTTCGGCTGTTAGTATTTCCCTCGGCTTGCTCCAAAGATCAACAACTACTATTTTTTATTATTACTTCAAGATTCCTTAATAAATAATGAGAAAAAATATGACCTGACATAATGTTACATAGAAAAACTATATATTTTATTATCGAAGCCTAGTTTTTTACAATTCCATGCAAATAACTTATTAGCTTAGCCTACGTCTGAAAGAAAAACTGAAATGTAAGAAAAACATATGTAAATTATTCTTAATAAATGAACTTACGTATACCACCGACGTTGACTGTAAAGATGGGTACGGTTAAATCTAAAAAGCGAAATTGGCTTACTACTATTTCAGTGTTGCGTAAAGCAAGGAATATGAGAAAATGGGGCTTCAACTTGAAGAATTTCATTTTAATTAGCTAAGAGCTGAAGTTGTCACAGTTTCAAATCGCTTGAAAGACTGTTTCTTATACTTCGATGCGTTATTCTTCAATATGTTAAGAAATTGTCTTATTACCTAATTATCATGCTTAAATGTGTGAAAATATTTATTAGAGCTGTTTCGTCTCTCAGTATTCCCCTGGACCCTTCTTAAATAGCAATAAGTATTCATTATCAACCGTTAAACGGTGTTACGGCCCATATCTCAAGATTTTCTAGTAGACAATGAAAAAAAAGCAAGCCTCGCAAAATTTCACATTGCAATATCTTAATTTACTTATAGAAGCTTCTTTTTATACAGTCGGCAAGCATCTAATTTATTTACGATCCCAATCTATGTCTGCAAAGAAAAATTATATATAAAAGAAATCTATGAAAATTATTTCAATAAATTATAGCTTACATATGCCACCATTGTGGATTGTTGCGTCTGGTACATTTATATGTAAAAAGCGATTCTGCTCTGCCAATACATCAGCATTTCGTAAAGTAAGAAGTACAAGAAAATGAGATGCCAGCTTGAAGAACATCATTTTGAATATCAGTTGGGAGCTGAAATTGTTACAGATCGAAATCTCTCGAGCGACTATTTCTCAATCAACAAAGCGATCGTCTTAAATGCGTTGTCAAATTGACTAATTATCGTACATAACTTGTATTATAAGCGAAAAAAAACTTCAGTAAAATAGCAATAAGTATTCATTATCGACTTATAAACGATGTTACGGCCTCTGATGAAGGGCTAGTTTTTTTTTAATAATAAAAAAGAACAGGTCATGACAGATTTTGCAATTATTTATTTATTTATAGAAACTTGGTTTTATATAATTCCGTGCATCAAATTTAATTACAATCTCAAGCTTAGCCTTAGCCCACGTCTGCAAAGAAAAATTAAATGTTGAAATTTATTATTTGCTATGAATTATAGCTTACGTAGACCATCATTGTTGACTGTTAGGCCTGCTATGTTTACATTTAAAACGCGTTGATTCTCGTTCAATACATCAACGTTGAATAAAACGAGGAATACAAGAAAATTAGATGCCAACTCGAAGAATTTCATTTTGAATATTAGTTGAGAGCTGAAATTGTCGCAGTTTCAAATCGTTCGAAAGACTATTTCTTATACAGCGAGGCGATATACCTAAATAAGTTGTAAAATTGTCTAATTTCATAATCTATTCTCATGCTTTAATTACATTATAAATGTGTGAAAATAACTATTTAAGTTGTTTCGTCACTCAGTATTAACCTGGACCCTTGTTAAGTAGTAATAAGTATTCATTATCAATTGATTAACGGAATTGCGGCCCATACCTCAAGATTTTTTAATAGACAATGGAAAAAAGCATTTCAATATCTTTATTTACTTACAGAATCTTCATTTTATACAATCGGCAAGCATATAATTTATTTACAATTTCAAACTTAGCCTATGTCTGCAATGAAAATTTATATATAAAAGAAACCTATGAAAACTATTTGCGATGAATGATTACTTACGCACGCCACCATTGTTGATTGTTGCGATATCTACGTTTACATCTAAAAGGCGTTGATTCTTCACCAATACATCAACATTGCATACAACGAGGAATACAAGAAAATAAGGTTCCAACTTGAAGAATATCATTTTCAATATTTGTTGAGAGCTGAAATTGTGTCAGTTTCAAATCGCTTGAAAGACTGTTTCTTATGCAGCGAAGCGATATACTTGAATACGTTGTGAAATTGTCTAATTTTATAAACTATTCTCATGCTTAAATTGCATTATAAATGTGTGAAAATAGCTATTTAAGTTGTTTCGTCATTCAGTGTTCCCCTCGACTTCAGTTAAATAGCAATAAGTATTCATTATCGACTGATAAACGATGTCATGGACCCTGTTAAGGATCATTAATTAAAAAAAGCCCATTAAAAATTCAGCGTATACTGGATTTGGTAAACACCATAAATACTTGATCTGGGCGACGAACCGAGTCGATTTAAAACAAAAAGAGAACATTTTAATGGAATACAATCCCTTTTTGGAATCCAACACACTTCATTCATTTACAAATGCTTGATTTAAAAAAATTCTATATATCTAATTTATTGGCAATCCCAAGATTAGGCAGTGCTTATTTCTGCAAGGAAGAATTGAGTGCAAACTAAGCATATTGAAAATATTTCAGAAATATTGTAACTTACTTATACCACCAACATCGATTGTAAAGAGTGGTACGTGTAAATTAATAAATGGTCGCGGCGCCGCCAAATTATCCCGGATGCTTAAGGCGAGGACAACAAGAAAAATACCTTCCAACCTGAGCCAGAGTTTCATTTTGATATTAGTTTAGCTTAGTTGAAATAGCTTGAAAGACTGTTTCTTATAATTCGCATTGATATTCTTAAATACGTTGTGAAGTGCTCTAATTACATTTTAGAATCTTTACTATCATGCATCAATTGCATTAGAAGCGAAAAAAAATGTGTGAAATAACTCTTTAAGTTTTTATATACCTACAATATTTTATATTGTATGTATGTATGAGATGTGATAAAAAAAAATTCAAATTTAGGCTTGACACAATTTACATATACAGTGGACCCTCGGTTAACGAACGCCCAAGCCCAATGTTTGATAAGATTAACAAAATTGTTATCGAACATTGTTACAATGAGCAATGGGTCATTGTAAAAATCTACAATAAGAAATACAGAAAATTATATCATTGATTAACTTGCTTCATTATAACTAACTATTGAAATTATTGCTTTTCTGTACAATTCGACGGTAAAAATATTAGTAATCAATATAATTATATTTATTTCTATACTTTATTATTATCTATTACAAAATTAATATTATTTGAAAACCACTAATTTATATATAACTTATTTCTATGCATATGTGTATTTCAAAAATATTAAGCTTGATGGGATGGGATATCTGTAAAGGTAAAGAAAATTTGATAAAATCATATAAAACATTTTTATACTTTGATTAAAAAAAGATAATTTCATGAGGATATATAAATTATTATTATGTTTTCATTAATATAATGGCTACTGTTAATTGAGGGCAATATACTTGGCATCGCGCATCAGTGCTCTCGAAATTCCCCGGATGTATAAGGCAACAAGAAAATACCACTGAAACATGAATAATTTCATTTTGAATATTCAAAATAATCAAACAAAATGTAGCGTCACAGTTTGAAGTCAATGCGAAATTGCTAAATGCGAGAGTGTCTAGTGGCCTTCGAGAATCTCTTATCAGTTTGCAATGAATTTTGAACCCCGAAACAAAATGTACCAATCGGAGAGCAATGCGTGCTTTGACCCATTGAGCAAGCATAGGGTATGTCTATTCATTGGAATAGACTAATATAAACATGCATAAATTGCATTATAAGCGACGTAAATAAAAGATTTTAAGTGCTCAAATGCGTGGAATCAGGCACTGATGCCACTTTGCCCCTCGGCATTTGGTTCGGCTTGCGTTAAATAGCCATAACTATTCATTATCGACATATAAACGATGTTACGGCCCCTGTCGAAGTGCTCATAACTTCAGATTTTATATTAAATAAACGAGACAAAGCGAACCCAAGCAAAATGTCACGCAGAAGAGGGGAGGGTTGGGCGTCCAGGCAGAGAGGGAGAGAGAGAGGCACACATATGCACGAGAATCCTTTTGACCCACAAAATTGAATATGTACATACATATATATATTTATATGTATGTACAACTGCATGAGAACCCTTTCTTCTGGTGCTACATCCTGCGTAATTCAATATTTGACTATATGAGATTTATGGCCACAGGGGCTAGCGCGAAGCTTCCGGCGTTATAGAGAGAGTGAGAAAGCGGCGTCCTCTTTTTTTTTCCTTTTTTTATTTGTATAAAGTATAATTTTTGATTTAGTGCGATTTTCGTGTCAACGCTGAGCCCTGATGTCGCGCAAAGCGTTAACGCAATAGTTTTGCAATATCCAATGTGCCAAGAGTGGAAAATACGTTTCTGTTTGCTTTGGCCAATGGCGGATATGAGACCACATGCTGGTTGTTATAGTCCCAAAGCCAAGCCAGGCCCGGACAGGCAGGACACGCAGTCCAGGCGGGTGGCTTAGCTTGAAGGGGGCCATGGAAAAGGAAAAACAATGGCATTTATTGCCATGTTGAACGATTATTTGATTTTTCACGCACTTAACGAAACTTAAAAACAAACAAAAAATAAAGCGAATGGAAAGTATTGGGCTTGCAGATACCCTATGCGAGGTAAATGAGATAATATTTCTAGAGTTGCCTGAAATGAAAAATTATATTACCTAAAATTAGGTACACTAACACTAACTTATAGATATTCTGTTTATAGATACATACATATGTAGATACAATTTCAGATAGATATATTCAAATGATTTTACCATATATAATATATATGACTAGAACATATTTCTCAATATTTTCTACTATACCCAATAATCTTATCCTTCGCATATTCTACAATTACTAGAAATTTGTTAATATATTCGAAAATCTCCATAATACTTAAGACACCAACTTTAAACATATGTGTGCTATTCAAGATTTTTTCTTCTAGCTGTCAGAGCGAAATTCCCTACCCGAATCAACTACAATAGGTATAAAGTAGCAACAATCCCACATTGATAGCGAGAGATGCGCGTAAAAATTTATTTTTATTATTATGTAAAATATATCAGACAGGAGTAGCAGCAGCAATGGCAGACAGTAGAAAGTCAAAAATTCAATAGATGCATGGATGGCAACAAATTGCTTTGTTTGTCGACCTTCCCATTGAATTCGAGTGGGAATTAGTTGAGGGAAAGCGCCCACGCGCTTATCAAATGGGGTTGGCACGGCAACAGGATACAAATGCCAGTTGATAAGGCGTTAAAAATGTTTTGCCAAAAACCAATTTGCCGAGCAGAAAATTTGCATATGAGTGTGTTATATGTATATATGCTATATGCTGGCAGCTGGAAGAAGTACGTAATCAAAGGGTTGCGTACGGCCGGAAGCGAAGGGCGTGAAAATTTATTGCAGGTTGCATTAAATTTAATTTGAAGCGTGCGCGGAAACTTTAAAATGTGGCGCTCTTTCCGTCATACAAAAAGCTATTTTGATATTGTGATTGAGTTACCTGAGTGCCCTTATCATTGGCGTCTCTTCATTTCCTCGATTTGCTTGAGCAGCAGCTGCATACGATCCTTCATCAGGGGCTGGCCACGCTGTGTGCGCTTGCTGATGACTTTGGTCTTCTCCAGGCGCTGCTTTTTGTACGCCTTGATGCGTGCCTCCTTCTCGGCCTTGATCTTTTCACGTTCCGCCTGCGCTGCAGCAGCCTTTTGCTTCCGTATCATATTTCGTATTTCAGGCTTATTTGGTTTGTTGTCCTAATAAACAATGCAAAATGTATACGCCTTGCCGACTTGTAGCTATACAGTGTTTTTTACATACCGATTTCTGTTGTTTTTTCTTGAAGTTGGGCTTCAGTTTTTGACCAGCCCTTGCAGGCTTTTTATTAAATTTTCCCTGATTTTTTTGCGGTTTTGGCTTCATTGTTTTCTTTTTTAAATAAGTTTATAAACACAGCGGCACGTGTGGGAAACAGCTGATTAGAGACATTTCATTACTTTACATCACTGCTACTGGAAACTTGATCGATAATCGTGGTATTTTGGTCAAATTTAGCACATTTATACAAATGTCACTCGCGTGGACCAAACATATTTTATTCAGTTTGAACTGCAATGAGTCTGGCAGAAATTAAACAGAAAGAAGGCAAAGCTAAGAAGAATGTGCTGCCCAAGCTGCGCACTCTATTGGCCAATCCATATAAACAGCACAGGTAAGTCAATTGTAATTTCGCATTCAAAGTCACCAAACTAAGCTAACTAATTCGTTCCAGTCCCGTGCTGCCCGAAAGCGAGTTGCTGGAACTGCAACACATATTAAAATCTGCTTTAAATGAAAGTGAGCATACACAACAAGAATTTGTGACCCAGCATCACATACACCTGGGCTTGGAAAGCTCACTACGGGCTATTAATGGACGACGGTTCTCCTGCGTTTTCATTTCTCTCAGCTTAAGGCCTTCCCACCTAGTGCGTCTTATTGCAACCACAGCTAGTGTCAAAGCTCCAACAGCTCCCATCTATGCGCAACCCAAATTGGAGGATCTCACACATGAGATATTTGGAGTACGAGCGTTAGCGCTAGTATTACCGATAGACTTAAACAGTATAAGCTCCAAATTGGCCAAGTGGGTGGAAGTCCGAAGAAAACCTGTGGTCAAAAAAATCGTAAAGCCTTCGTCAAGAAAAAGTGAAAAGAAACGC